GCCCTCAATGTCATATTTTCCATCCATGTCCGAAGGGATAATGGATCTTCTTGACAGAAACTGTTGACTTGTCACACACGGCAACAATTTCGACGCATGGAACACAGGGTAGGTGTGGAGGTGTGTTGGGATCTCTATCGTATAGGACGGCCCATCCTCTCCGCCCTTAACCTCTAGAACTGGCCATGGTCCTCTGTACGCTGGCAGTAACTTCTGCGAAATGTTTTCCTCAGGAACAAACTCTTTGGACTTGACCCAGAACTAAGTCGCCTACTTGAAACTGCGACAGGCAACGATGCTTGTTAGCCTGTTCTATCATTCGGTGCTGGGCCTTCCTGAGCTTCTCAACGACAATAACTATCTCCTTTTCGTGATGTATCGCAAACTCCCTAGTACCGGGCGGTAGCCTATGAATCTGATCCTGGTTAAGTCCTTCAAACGGTCTGCGAGGTCTAAAGGACTTGTGCAACTCATTGGGAGTGCGACAGGTGGACAACATCTCATCCCAATTGACTTGATCCGGTCTAATATACATGCGCAGAACTCGTTGCAGAATCTTATTCATTTGTTGAGTCTGACCGTTAGTCTCAAGATGACGGCCAGATGACATCAACAACTTTGACCCATAAACTTTCATCAGTTCCTGCTAGTTCTGACTAGTGAACCGGGTGTCTCTATCACTAACTATGGACAGCGGAATCCCGTGATCACTAACCCAATGATAAAAAAACTTCTGAATTACTAAATCAGTATGTGCCTCCGCAGGCAAAGGAACAAAAACAACGTATTTACTAAACCTATCGACTATAACCGTGATTTCCATGTCTGCTCTTAAAACTAGCATCCATGAAGTCAATGGAGACAGAATCTCCAGGCTGGTCAGGAATAGGCAAGGTCAAAGAAGACCTAGAGGGGCACTCGTAGTTGTCTTATTCCTCTGACAGACTTTGCAACTGCGAACATACTCTATGCAGTTAGCTTTCATTCACGGCCAAGTGTACGCATGCATGGCTAGAGTTTTTTGCCAACCGAAATGTCCCTCTGTGTCGTGACATTCCTAGGACCAAACTACGGATCTCCTCACTATTAGGAACGCACAGACGGTCTACTACATCAGTCTTCTCGAACAATAATCCTTTTGTAGTGCGGTAACGCGGTTCAGTCTCTGGGGCCTCCTTAACCATAAATAGGTCCTGCGCATACGCCTGTCTTACTTTCTCTTGCAGGTCTTTCCCTATATCCAGATAGTGGACTATAGCTCCAAAGTAGTCTGATCTCCTACTTAGAGCATCCGCAACTACGTTATACTTGCCTTTGACCGGTTTGAGCTCAAAGTCATACTGGTCTATCTCAACGGCCCACCTAGTCAACTTAGGTGTCATTTTGGCCTGCATTTTCATCCACCTAAGAGTCTCGTGGTCTGAATATATTTTGAAGTGCCTCCCAAGCAGGTAATGCTTCCAGTGCTCTAAGGCCTGCCTGAGAACGTAGAGTTCTCTCTCGTAAGTCGAGGTAGCTATCTTCTTTAAGGGCATCCTCGCTGACATGAATTCTACAGGTCTGTAGCCATTGTCGTCGTCCTGCTGCAACACGACGTCTATACCATACTGACTTGCGTCCATGGTGACAACAAATGGCAAGGACGGATCTACTACCTTGAGGACAGGATACTCTATCAACGCGCGCTTTAATTTCCTAAGAGCGGACGTACAGTCTTTATCCCACGTCCAGATTGCTTCTTTCCTTAGCAACCTGCGAAGGGGAGCGGCGATAGTAGAGAAGTTYTTCACGAACTTCCTATAATAGTTAGCTAGGCCTAGGAACGACCGCAATTCTGTGTGCGGGGCATCGGCCAATCTCAAACCGCCGCTATCTTGTTGTCCTCAGGCTTAATCCCGTCTCCGTCTAACACGTGGCCCAAGTACAAAACTTGTGTTTTGGCCCACTCGCACTTCTTCGCATTGATCTTGAAGTTAGCCTCCCTCAGCTTCTCCAAGACCTACCTCAAATGACCCTGATGCTCTTGGAGGGTCCTACTGAAAACTAAGATATCATCTAAAAAAATTACGACGAATCTATCTAACCAAGGCCTAAACACATCATTCATACAGCACTGAAATGTGGCTGGCGCATTGGTCAGTCCAAAGGGCATCACTATGAACTCATAATGCCCATATCTAGTCCGGAAGGCAGTCTTGTACTGGTCATCAGGATGAACCTCTATTTGATGATACCCGGACTTCAAGTCTATCTTCGAAAAATACTTGCAACCCTGCACCCGATCTAAGAGATCGTCTATCCTCAGCAGCGGCTCAACATTTTTTACTGTGATAGCATTTCGACCCCTGTAATCAATACACATGGGCAACTCTCCCTCCTTTTTAGGGACAAATAACACTGGTGCTCCAAAAGGAGACGAACTGGGCCTAATCCAACCCTTTTCGAGGAGCTCATCCAACTGCTTGCGCAACTCCTCTAACTCTCTTGGGGACATCCTATAGACCGCTCCCTTAGGAGTTCTACTGCCAGACTCTATCTCTATCCGGTGTTGGATTGGCCGTGATACTACTGTCGGCGGCTCTGCTAAGTCCTTAAATTCTTCCAGCAGCTTGGCAATAGTTGGGTCTAGTGGCTTCTCTTCCTTAGGCTCAGTGACAGGTCTCACATATGCTACGAAGACCTGCTCCTCTAACTACTGCTTCTTAACTAACCGCGCAAATGCGGGAACACTGAGACAGCAATGTGTCAAGGAGTTGTCGACTCCTGACACATGAAACAGACGGACCGTCTTAACCCCGCCTGACGGACTAGGGAGCCTCACTCATGCTCTCTCAGGTGGAGTGTGGCCCCTGCTGCCTCTCCCCAGTCCATACCTAAGACTACGTCAAAAGGGAGGTCATCCTATACGAGGAGAGTCAGGGAATGGAGAACTTTCTCCACTTTCCCATCTTTCTCTAGGCGAAAATACGCCTGGACTCCCTCTACGTAGTCCTCAACATGCATCGTGCGGTTGTCTGCGAGGACACTGACTATGGAGTCTGTGAACTTTTGGACTTTTAATCCTAGCCTTAGCTTCTTCATCGCCATACGACTAATATAACTGCGAGTAGCCCCTGAGTCTATAAGGGCTCCTACTCTACTTCTAAAAACTTCTACATCTACTAATACCAACCGTCCTTTACTTTCCTTCTTCATTTTGGCCCAGGCCGGAAGTGCCTAGAGAGACGCTAACATAGGCAGTCTCTGGACAACTAACTAGGCACTAGCTTGCAACCTCTGTCGTAGGCTCATGTGGTGTGGGAGTTTCCTGCTGACGCGCGCTTGCTTCCCCAAATGACCTTGTTGTAGGGGCAGTTGCAACCCCTACCGGCGGCTGCCTTTTGACTCTTGGGCAGCCGATGGGGCCTCTCTATACTTAGGACAATATTTAATAATATGGGCCGGGTCACAGCAATATATACACTGACCCTGGTCCATACGTTGCTGCCTTACTCGCTAGTCCAGGCCCAAATCTTCCCATGGTCTGCCCTGTGGCAAGCCTGGGTGCCATCCTTCTCTCCTTTGAGGTGATCTTCCACCTCTTCTCTGTGGCGACCGACTAAAACGTGACCGATTTGGTGGGGGACCTTGACCCCTACCTGCCTCTTGGTGGTTCCTTTGGCCGCCAACCCCCTGTGTGCCATGTCCTCAACCACCAAAGGCCTGGCCCCTCTGGCCCTGGCCTCCTCCTCTGCCCTGCGGCCTCCCTCCGGCCGCGATGGCAGCGTAGGTCCTCCCCTGACCCACGCCACTATCATCCTCCTCATCTAGCCCCCACTCAATCTGACTGTCAGGGACCTCGTCGGTACCACCCTCGTCTAATGTAAGGATCAAATGATCCTTTGCCCTACTTGGCCTGAGATGGTTCAACCCTTCCACTTTTTCCCCTTATCTAAGTCCTTATGCCAAAAAGTGGACACTAACATGGACTTCGCTTCGTACAGCACCACCTCTTTACTCAACGCATCATACGTCATAGTGGGTTGTTGACTCTTGTCGAAGAAATGCCCTCGTAAGGGCTCTGGCATGGCACAATAAAATAATTGGACCAGTTGGGCCTCAGTGACCCCGTGGTCTGGGACGGCTACCAAGTCGTCCATACTGCCTTGAGTGCTCGCGCACTCCTCCACTGTCATGAGTGGATTGTTTGCAGTTTATCTGAGGCCTTGATGCCTCTCCTAAGATCGGCAATCGCTCACAGAGGAGTCTGAAGAATTGAGGAAGGGAGGTGACTTTCGAATAAGCAACCATGTTGTTCTCATAACTAGCTGTGCGCACTAGGGACCTAGCGAAACTGGCCGCGTCCTCTTTCAGGGCATGGTAGGCTACCATGACCTGCTCCTCAGGTATGATGTGCTGTAAATATACGTAACTATTGACACTAGCCTCCCAGTTATCGAAATTTTCTTCGGATTTCCCGCCATACGCATCTGGGAACTTGAGCTTGACAGACTCTTTGCGGGGACGCGCTTCGGCCTCTGTCATGGCCACCACTTTGGCGCCTTCAATGGCCCCTGCACAGAACTTGTCTGCTCCTCCTAACTTCGGTCCCGACGTGGGTCACCACGACGTGGGTCACCACGTCGCGCGCAAACTAACGAAACCCAGTCCGGATGGAATGGAGGGCCACCTCTTGGCTCTTATTGGCTTGGTGTTGTTCAAGCCAGGCCTGCCCCAAAGTCTCAAGACAACTCAGAATCTTGTCTAATTTGGCCTGGGTATCTTGCTGCGCTTGCACCTCTTGCCTACACAACTATATCTTTTCCACTTCCTTGGCCATCTAGTTGGCCTCCTCCCTCCTCCTCTTCTTCTCTCTCGCCAGACGTAATTTCCACTCCTATCTCTTTTCATTTTCTAGCGTCTGGCGGTCCAGGGGATCTTCCATAGCTTCCATCTCCCTGGCTACAACTTCTTCCTCCTCCTGAGGCATATATAACATTGTCTCTTTGTCCTCTCCCAACGATAAATTAGCAACCCATTCGCTGATCTTCCTTTCCACCCACGGGTTTTCTCCCTTCGTGCCACTGCTCTCTCCTCTCTCTCTCGTGCGCCTCCTCTCGAGGGGTCCTTCTTCTTCTAATTCTTCCTCCTCCTCTGCTGCTTCTTCTTCGGCAGCCCTCTTTTTCTCTTCCTCCTCTTGCTGTAATCTCATCATCTCCTCCAATTTCTTCTTCTTCGCCACCTGCTCCTCTGCGATTGCCTTCGACTTCGCTTGCTTGAGGAGCTCCTTCTTCTCCTTCTTCTCCCTTCTCTCTTGCATAATGGCGGCAGCTTGGTCCTGCTGAGCCTGGGTACAAGGGGTAGTACTCTTCCCTCCACGGGTGTCAACCATGGTGTTAGGTGCACAACCTGACAACGGTTTCACTCCTCACCACTTAGACTCTACCCGTCTAATTGACACAACCTACTGACTCAATCCATAAACTACAGAATCCGGACAGGATCCTGTCAACTAGGGTCAGTAGCCTGGACCTATTCTAAGGCTGTCACTACACTACTCACTGCTGACCAGGAGGCATTTAAGGAGATCCCCCGTAACTCCTCAGAACGTCGCAGACAGGACAACGCGATCAGCAAGTCCTCTCAAGACTTAGACAACTTGTTGCGCAGCCCACAACTCAGATTTTGGGTCTACCGTGCCACACCGAGCAGCCCGTCGGTCAGTACCGGTCCTTGGGAGGGTTCGTGTCCTCCGGGACAGTCGAGTCGTCAGACACAACCTTTAGCCCTACTTAGCCCGTGTGGGTTTGGTCAACAAGGCCCTATCCTTCATCCACAGAGTTCCTACACCTGGCATAAGAGACTCGATGCAAAAAGAAGAGACAGACAGACTTGACTCTGCAAGTACCACAGGGTGTGTGCACATCCATAGGGCGAGGGGATAGGCTGAAGGCTTGGCGAGAATGTACCAGCTCAAGCTTGGTCAAAGTCGTGGTCAACAGTCTTGGTCAACGCCTTAGTCAACGCTTTGTCAACGTCGGCCAATGCCTTGGTCAACGCTTGGTCAATGCTTGGTCAACCCCGGTCAACTCCGTCGGTCAACTCCTCGTCCAGCTATGACTGCCTTCTTCTTCTTCTTCCTCCTTTCTCCTTCCTCGCCTATTCCTTCTTCCACCCCGGTTATCTTCTTTCTTTCTTTTTTTTTTTTCTTTTTTTTTTTTTTTACGTTGTCTCTCCCTTCACCTTCCTCCGCTTCAACTTCTCTCCTCCTCTTCGGCTATGGTTTCCCCTCTCTTCTCAGTCTACCTTCTCACATCCTCCTTCGTTACTCTGTGGCTGACCTCGACGGCTATGGTCGCCCCTTCACTTCGTTGGACCGCACAACGATCTTCAACAGGTTATACTTTTGTAACTCGTTGGTCTGCTCCTTTCCCATGCCCGTGGTGCATACAGTCCCATACGGTATATGCTTGACTGGACTAGGACTGACTGGGACTGGGTACCACTGACTCAGCACGAGTGGACTCCACCACTTGCCCACTTGCTTCTGGCCTACTGTGAGCAATGTGTGAAGGGACATTTCCGGACCTTCCGGAAGTCTGTGGACTTGGCCCTTCGACACTGTAGCAGCTACGACCTTGACCCTTCAAGACTGTAGCAGCTACGACCTTGACCTTTCAGAAGTCCTACAACTACGACTTATAGGACCTACTAAGACCTACAAACAACAGGTCTACAGCTCGAACCCCTACAACCTACGAACCTACGACAACCTACTAACTACTGCGGACACACAGGTCACGGGTTCAACTATCGGGTTCGACACAGATACTGTACACAGGTAAGGTGAGGACTAGGGATCGAGCCTTGGGATCTGCATCCGCTACTGCGAACAAGTGAATACCGTTTCACCTTAATTAATTTCGACTAAACTCGATTAATTCACGACTGAATTAATCTCTTTTACTCGGAATTAATCACCCCTTGGTCCCCTTTTCGAAATTATACAATTTTACCTCGAACGCAAATCCGAAATAATTTCGTCAGAATTTATTTTCCTCGGAATTAATTGTTCTTTTTTTTTCATTTGGAAATTCCTGAAAAATCCGCTTTCCTATTTTCTTGAAAAATACACTCTCGAATTAATTCGAATAAATTCAAATTAATTTATTCAGAATTAATTCTTGCTCTGCGATTCTCAGTTACCTTCATTGCTAAATCACTTGATGACGCTCTATTCTTGTAAATAGGAACTGTCCCCCCCATCTCCACATGCCACCACGCCAAACCAAGACCTCCCAATGCGCCTCGCCGACGCCGCTGCCGTTGCTGCCGCCACCGCTGCCGCTATCACATTCGCTGCTACCGCCTCCACTTCCGCTCCAGCCACGGCCCAATCTTCCATCAACATGCCTGATCTTCGTTCCGACTCCGTCAACAGCATTGCCCGTGAACCCGCAGGCGATCAGCCAACTTCGACCACCACCACCACGAAACTCGCAACTATCCTCCAAACGTTGACCGCTCGTAAATCCTCCCTCGCCACCATCAACACCACCGTGGCCGCCATCTCCGATCGTGTCACCACGCTCGAGGGAAACTTCCCCGCCATCACGGTCGTCACCACGACCACACCCCCCTCCTCCACAACCCAACCCACCCCGTCCTCCGGACAAGCCTCCGCTTCAACCTCCACACCAACACCATCCACCTGTACACCCCCACCCTCCCCCCTCGCCCAAGACGACAACCCCTGCCGTCACACAGTCATCAATCGCACCCCCCCAATCAAAATCGCTCTTATCCACCTCCACTATTACCTCAACCATCCCCAACTATACCTAGATCATTCCACAAGCTGTGTATCCCGCTCCTCCACTACTTCCCCCAAATGCTCTCATCCCCACCAACCCTGCCAATGATTTCACCATGTTCAACTCTCCCTCTCCCACCCTTGATTTCAATACCCTTGCCACCATTAACGCCAGAGAAGGCAAAATCCCACCATCATTCCGCGTCAACGAAATCCCCACCTTCTCGGGCCAACCCCATGAGGATGTCCTCCTCTTTCTCACCAAACTCCAACAAGCCTTCTCCCTCCACGACATCCCCGTCATCCAATGGCTCCCCATCACTGGCGGCCGACTTCTAGACAACGCTGCTCGCTGGTGGTACACCGAAATGTCTAATCGCCATCACACCGGTCTCCGGCCTCACACCTTCCTTGAGTGGGACACCCTCATCACCTCCACCTTCCGCCCACATAAAACAGTCGACGACTATATCGACCAATTCTATCGGCTCCAACAAAATAGACCAACCGACAGTTTTGTGCAATACGTCCCCTCGCTTCGTCAACATATCCCCATTGACGTCGTCAGCGACTTGGCCTTCATCTCCCGCGTTAAGCGCGTATGCCACAAAGACCTAGCGGCCGCCCTTGTCCACGAGCCCCCCATGACCCTCGCCGACCTCCTCACTCGTACCTCCAACTCGACGGCATCCTCTCTCCCTACAAGACCGCACTACATCGGCCCCTCCCCGCCCTCGCTTCTTCCACAACATCGCCTCCGAGGACACCACCTCCACCACCTCCTCGGACGAGTTCACCTCCCCCGACCTTGACACCCTCTCGGATCCACTAGACACCACATCACTCTCACCCGACGAACTCTCTGCCATTCACCTCATGCGAATGGAAAAGAGAGATCGCTCCAGCCGCCATTCCCCGACCACCCCCCCGGGCCGCCTCAAGAAACTCACACCCGAGGAAAGAGCCTACCTTCAGGCAAAGGGTGGATGTTTCCGTTGTCGCCAGTTAGAACACCAACAAACTAACTGCCCCAATGCTGGATAGTTCACCCGCCAATCCTCGGCCCCTCGACCCGCAACCTCGGCATCACCCCCCTCCGCCGGCGCGGGTTCCTCCTCGTCCTGAACACAGTCCCCAGGACCTCGTCCCGGCATCGACAACTCGTTTGCCGGCCAACCCGCCGGCGACATCCCCCGTCCTTCCGACAATCCATTTGGCATCGACAATCTGTCTGCCTCCCCCCTCCCTGGTGAAACCCTTTCCATCGGATGACCCCGAGGCATCGCAACCTTCATCACTTGAGACGCCCCCCACTGCTTCGTGCTCCTCCACCCTCCTTCCAAATCCATCCTTTGTCACCTTCTCCGATGTTGTTGAGGAACAAGCTCGACTCGATCGCCTTGTCCGGTTAGGCAAGGAACAACACCGCCTGAACACCATTATCTCCACTGCCAGCTCATCCCATTTCCACCTCAAATTCATCGCCGCCACCCTTGGTGTGTCTACCACTAAGTTTCGGGCCCTCCTCGACATAGGAGTCACCGGTAACTTCATCACCGACGCGTGTGTTGTGAAAGCCGGTCTTACCTCTACCGGTTACAACTCCCCAATTACGATCCGTCTAGGGGACAAAGACACCATCGTCGTAGTGGACCTCACGGTTCCCGAGACCATCATGACAGTAAGAACCCTCTGCAGTCAGGTCTCATTTGATGTCATGCATTTGATGTGCGACATCGTCTTAGGAACACCGTGGCTGGACCGCTACATGCCATACACATTCCACCCCAACTACCTCCGCCTCACCAACCCCCCCGACACAACCATCGACCTTCCCTATCTCCCATATCCGACCTCCCAAGGCTCCGTCACCCCGCATCAATTCCTCCACATGGCCCGCATGAACCCCGACTCCGCCTACTATTGCCTTGTCCTTGACCACGAAAGTCCCGAGGACTTACTCCCAACGGACAGACCCGATCAAACCCCCCCCTCTGACCCCGCCCTCACCTCTATCCTTGACGAGTTCAAGGACGTCTTCCCTGAGTCCCTACCTGCTGAATTACCTCCGGATCGTGGCGTATCCCATACCATCGATTTTGAGCCCCCAGACCGATGGACAAACCAAGAGGATGAACGATACTCTCCAAAGAATCCTGCGGAAGTATTGTCACCCACACCAACATGACTAGGACCAGGTGCTCACAACCACCGAGATCGCCTATAACAACGCCCTCTGCCCTTCCACTAGCATGTCCCCGTTCCACCTCGGCCTTGGCTACCATCCTCGCTTGCCCTCCGACTTCCCGCTGCCCTCGCAGCTCAACCCCTCCACACCTTGCCCTTCCCTCAATGAATGGGTAGCAACAATGAATCGACTCCTCAGAGAAGCAACTGAAGCCCTTGAAAGAACACAAGAACAACAAGTAAACAAGATTAACAAGATTAACAAACATAGACGAGACTTGCAATTCAAAGTAGGGGACAAAGTCTGGCTCTCGGCCAAACGATTCGAACCCGAACATGGATTGTCAAAGAAAGTCTCGAACAAATGGCTTGGACCCTTCCCCAGCATTGAAAAAACCTCCGGCGTCAACTACAAACTCCAACTCCCCCTTGACACGAGTCGTGTCCACCCTGTCTTCCAAATAGAATACCTAAAAGAGTATCATGAATCCCCACCTCAATTCGCTGACCGACCTTACCCCCGACCTGCACCAATCATGCTTCCCACAGGCCCGGAATTCGTAGTAGAATCCATCATAGGACGGCGAACTACACAAGTATCAAACAATACAAAGTCAAATGGAACGGATACCCCAATGAAGAATCTACATGGGAACCTCTCTCTAATCTCAAGAACGCTATGAAACTTGTTCGTGCCTATGATCGCGCTCACCCTATATCCTAGATACATCCTCAACCTTAAACCCCTGCATAAACCCCGGCTTGACCCCGCCAAAACCCCGCATTCCTGCCCTACACACACCCCTGCCCCCAGCAAAGCCCTTGCCCCTTGACTTCCCTCTGTCTGACCCGCTCTTGCCTCCGTCTCGCCCCCTTCTCGCATCTGTCCTCCACCACATCCTTGTCTCTCTTGTCCAAGTTCCCTATGTGGCCCCTGCGCGTCGCCGGCGATAATGGATCTAATGGCAAGCACACGAGGACGATGGCATGCTGCAACTCAGTACGAGGAGATAAGACAGCTGGTTGCCCACCATGCTGTTCCCTTTGGCCGGCACCTTGGACTCGCAGACTTCTGGAGCAGCACCTCTGACAGGGACATCAAGATCAGTCTGCGACCTGCTATCCAGATCAGACCTCAGCACCAGATCCGAGTACCAGACGCATCCTGCTACTGGGACATTCAAGCTGAAGCTCTCGCCATCCACATCACAGGCCTGCTGAAGACTGCTTTTCACCGACACTTCTGCGACACCTTTCAAGACCTGTTCTCAAGACATCTACATGGATTGCTACACAGAACTTTCAACCTGTACCACTAAATCCCCGACCCTCAGCAACCCCGCCCCGTATATCGCAAGCCAAATTTCCTTTTTCTTGAGGACCACATAACCTGGTTTGCCCTGAACCTCCTAGTTCATCAGTAGAATTACCTTGTCTCCCTGTTGTTTCCAACCCCTTAGTTCATCAGTAGGATTACCCTGTTCCCTGTGCTTCCCAGCCCTCTTAGCACATCAGTAGAACTACCCTGATTCCTGCAAAACCCCTTAGCTCGTTGGTAGGATTACCCTGTTCCCCGTGCTTCCCAGCCCCCTTAGCACATCAGTAGAAATACGCTCCAAAAACCCTTAGCTCGTTGATAGGTTAACCCTGTTCCCTCTTAATCCCCGACCCAGGCCACCCACATTATACCCCTCTTCCTTTTGACATGTTGATCAGTGATCGGGCCCGTCACGTCCTTCACAGACTTCAGCATTCCAGCTCTTCGGTTTCTGACTGTTGGCGCCCTCTGCAGTTGGCACCCGTTTTCAAATCCCTCCTTTGGCACTTTTGGATTTCGACACTTGGCGCCATCCGACATTCTGGCGCCCAGACTCAGACTTTCGATTCTCTGTGCAGTCCCGAGGCAATGGCAAATCTGCCCTCCGGACTGAACTTGAGTCCGGTACTTAAGACCGGACTCAAGCCCAGTACGGGCATTCAGTTTTCGGCCTCAGTGCTTGTGCTTCAGTGTGACTTGCTTCGACATTGCGTTCGGGAATCGAAGACTGCGACTTTGCAACTTCGCCACTTCGTGTATGCGTCCGTCGAGTCTTGTCGAGTCTGCGTCGAGTTGAGTGAGTGTGTGTGTGCTCTCACCCTCTCCTCTCTCTCCCTCAGCCTCGCTACTCTGCCTCTGCCTCTGACTCGTCACAGTTTCCTTTCCCTTCTTCTTTCCCTTCTTCTTTCCCTTTCCTTTCCCTTTCCCTCCCCTTCCACTTTCCTTCTGCTTTCCTTCTTGTCTTTCTTGTCCTTCCATCTCTCCCTCCCTCACTCCCTTCCTCGCTTACTCTCCCTCTCTCCCTCTCTCCCTCCCTCCCTACATGCCATCCGTCCTTCCATTGACACAACATCTCTTTGCTTGTACGCTATGAAGATAGAGACATTGCCAACAAGCCCGAGCCCTGCTATTGACCGGTGAAATACTGTATTCTTCCAGTAGTCAATTATTGTACTCTTTCACCCAGGCCCTGCACACAAGGGGAGAAGGATGGCTGGTTCCACCGTATGCTCTCTGGGTTGAATTGAGTACGCAGTGTGCTTCTGATGCTGTTGCCACTTTGTGGCCTGGTTTCCTCAATGTCCTGGCACATACGATTTTCGATGTCGCTATACGAGGGAAGACGTTGTGCGATCTTGTAGCGGATCGGCCTTGCCGAACACGTCCGAGCAATTATCCCACCAGCATCTCACGTTCACGAGTATTCTGTTCAGCTGCGTATCAGAGACACGGTCGGGGATGGGATATTGTATTGCACTCACCATTGTTCGTAATAGAACAACACCTTTTTCTCCCCTTTGTTCTAATTAAGCTGCTTTTTATTAAAAATAAGAACTGGAAAACAGGTCCAGTGTCCCTTATGTCTGGTACACACGCAACACTAAGCAACGTCATTTTTCCGAGCACAAGCATAGAACCAGTGTCGTCGGGTCCTCACTTTTTTTTGATGGAAGAGGACACCACTGACACTGCCCAGATTAGGAGGAGCCAGCCAACAATACCTGAAAGAAGAATTTCCTATGACTCTTCAAAAACTCGCATAGTGTTCCTCCCAAGAACTTGCATTGCACTGAATTTAACATTACCTCCTCCTTTGTTATGAGCATGGCAGCGGCGGACAACCAAACCGGACAAGTCCGGACACCGGACACCGGAATTCCCGGTTTAATCCGAACGTCCAGTGTTCGGATGGGTYTATATGTCTGGATTAATTTAAAAAAAAAAAAAAAAAAACTTTGTGCAATTGGCGCCAATTACGAAGTGGTATGCGAGGTTGCAAAGTTGCAAACACATTGAAGACAGCAAAAAGCCAGAAAAGCCTTGGGGTGAATGGGGGATGTGGGAAGTAGGGGAGTGGGAAACGTTTTGAAACCTCACAGAGCATACCTTGTGAAAGAACACAGCTTTACTCTGCCAAGGAAGTCAAATGTCGGCAAACACCACATGAATTGCAAACAGCTCAACAAACAACAAATTGGCATGAAGTTAGGAATACGTCTGCATAACCTTTTATAAAATAGTTTGAACTTTGAGGTCTGAAGTTCGAACTTCAAAGTTCAGACATCCCTAAAAGGTCTCTTTGTCATTCATTGTGAATGACAACTCAAATTACTCCACGCTCTCTCTCTCTCTCTCTCTCTCTCTCTCTCTCTCTCTCTCTCTCTCTCTCTCTCTCNCTCTCTCTCTCTCTCTCTCTCTCTCTCTCTCTCTCTCTCTCTCTCTCTCTCTCTCTCTCTCTCTCCTTTCAGCGTTTCTCACCCATAGGGCATTCCCCATCCCTTGTGCCATATTCAGATGTAGTGACACCAATGCAGGACTTCAAAAATTGAAGCCCACTTCCACTTCCGGCCCGCCGAAATGCAGAAAGCCCATTCAAACGGGCAGAAGAACAAAAAGGGAAAAAAAACGACAATCGCAAAAGGAAAATTCTGGCCCCTACCGTATCCCTCTCGCAGGCCTACAGAAACGGGCCCCTATTTGTGGTGGGCGGCCCAAGGCATGAGGAAACACCCCTGGCCGCAAAAAAAAAAATTGGCCGTTGCCCAAAATGTCTGGAATCCTGACCGGTACACCAGACACCGGACTCCGGATGGTCCGGATCGCTGCCATGGTTATGAGGGCTCGGGTACCACTTGTCACTGTCGTGCTGCCTTGGCATGATCATCTTTTTGCGGCCAGGGCCATTTTACTTTGGCACTATTTAGACAAGTGTGACCAGACCCTTGCTGCTACTGTTGCAAACTTTTCATTTCTTTTCAATATGAAAGGTGATGAGGAAGAATGTTGTAGGGCGGCTAGGGCCTCATTACACAACTTTCCAAATGTGAAAATGGGGAGTCTGTCTTGACAGACTAGTTGGCAAGATATACTTGCCAATTTTCACATTTGGCAGGTGGTAGAACCACACCCGCAAAGGGAAGAGAGAAAGAGAAAGAAGGGTTGCCACCCAGATGAGGGTTTCTTGGTGTATGGCAAGAAATTGCTATTAAACCACCAGGATTTCCCGGAAGTGAGCCATAAACGCACTGGGATGTACGGGCCTGCTGCACAAGGGCAAATTCATTTATGATGAACCGTCGCGGCACTGTAGCAATAACTGGGAAAGGTAATGGTGGTTCAAGGTTTACTGTGAAATGAAATTACTCACCAGTCATCAATGTAGGCATGCGCTGTTGCAAAATCAATCGCCGAAATGCTGTGGATCTGTATGAAGTCTGTGCCCGTTTTTGCCGCCCAGCTGTTAGCTCCACCTGGGTTGATGTGAACTTGATGACGGCTGTGTTTTGCCCAAAATCCCTCTGTCCCAACTGTCAGAAGATGGTAGGGGTCCACCTGCTTCACATACCTAGCCATCTCCTCTGCCCATTCCTGCATCCATGGCCAGAATGATGATTTCCGATCAGTGATGGTGATGATGATGATGATGATAATGATGACGATGATGATGATGATGATGTTGGGAATGAAGTACTTTTTCCATCCTCCTGATGAATTGGTGACAGTTCAACGAAATTCTGTCACAGCCCCCCTCTTCTTGTCCCGTTCTCCCTTTTCGCCTATGGTTCGTTGGGCATTCCTCTGTGGTAATATACATAATACATATATCATCATACACACACACACGACCGTTAAGGCACACAGGGATGTGGGCAGCTTCTGCTCAACCACAATCAACGTGGGCAGCCTTGTACGTGCGAGGCATTGTAAAAGAGGAGCTGTTTCCCCAAAGAAACCCCAACTAAACATAATTCAAAATGGTTCAATTATGATTCATTGTTGCTTGCTGAAGAGGTGAATTCTTTAGTTGTTGGGTTAGATCAACTCGAATCTACTTGTCTGGGTGGAATAGGGGCTGTTGTGGTGGAAACTTACAACTCACACACACACACACACACACACACACACACACATACACTTAAAAAGCTTTTGTTATTTTTGGATTTTATTTTTTTGGATTCTATTTTATATATATATATATAAAAATAATAGTAATAATAAAAACTAGCTAAGCACCCGCGGTGCGGGCGGCGCGGGCAATGCCCGCAAAAAAAATAAATAAATTAAAAAAATAAAAAAAATCAGGCCCAAACCAACTGCTAAATTTCACCATTGTTAACAAATGCAAGAAATGGAACACACATAGATAGACACAAAAAGGGAGAGAGAAAGAGAGAGAGAGAGGGAGAGAGGAGGGAGAGAGATGGAGAGACACAGATAGAGAGAGACAGAGGAGAAAGAAAAGAAGAATGCAAAGAACAAAGAAGAAAAACATCATTCAAGTCAAGAAGATCGTGCAAAATGATGAAGGCACAATAAGCACGAAGTACAATCCATCTCCATTTCATTAAAAGAAAACAACATAATATTTATTTGCTCTCTCTCTCTCTCTCTCTCTCTCTCTCT